TTCGGGTAGCCACCCAAACACCCCCGCCCGCGCCCGCGGCGGGGATTCCTGCGGGCCGGGGGCGCCCTGGGTGGCGCACTGGGAGGAAAGCTCTGCGCCCGGGCGGGCGGCCGCGCAGGGGCGCTGGCTGAGCGCTGCGCCGAGGTCGGGCGCGGGCGCCGCTGCGGCACGGCCGGGGGGCGGAGAGGGGCGGGCGCGGGGCGGGCTCCGCCGGGAATGTAGAGACCCGGGCGGGAGCCTCTCGGCGGCTGCGGCGGCGGCCAGGCTGCGGAGCGCGGAGGCTCCGTCACGTGTTTTTCTCCTCGGAGTGAGACGGCGGCGCGGTCGGAGGGGGCCGGCGCGTGGAGCCAGACGCCGCCGCTTGTTTTGGTTGGGGCTCTCGGCAACTCTCCGAGGAGGAGGGAGGAAGGGAGAAGTAACTGCAGCGGCAGCGCCTCCCGGGGAAGAGGCGTCTTCCCCGACTCCTTCCCAAAGCTAGCCCCTCGCCTCCCGCCCTCGCCCTCTCCCCCCCTCCTCCCCAGCCGACTAGAGCGAGGGGCAGGGATGAGCCTGTCCCTCCTGCGCGTCCCGAGCTCCCCCGGTTGCCTAGTAGCGTTTCGCGTGGAAAAGCCACTTTCTCCGCCTGCCGAAATGGGCCCGAAAGGGGGCTGCAGAGGACGCGTCCGCGGGCGGCGGCAGCACCGGCAACAGCCGCAGCGCCGCGGTCTCTGCGATTGAGCTGGTATTTGGGCGGCTGGTGGCGGCGGGGACGGTGGGGGTGGGAGGAGGCGGAGGAGGAGGAGGGAGAACCCCGTGCAACGCTGGGACTTGGCAGCTCGCCTCCCCCTGCCCAAGGATATTTAATTTGCTTCGGGAATCGCTACTTCCAAAGGGGAACTCAGGAGGGAAGGCGCGCGCGCCTGGAGGGGCAACAGGGACCTCCGGCCGCCGCTGCCTGCCTGCGCGGGACTCCAGCCCGGGTGGCGAGACATGCATCTATGCTCCTTCCCGGCCGCGGTGGTTGAGAGGAGACTTGGATCTGGGATCTGGGCTGCACTCCCGCCGGACGCACTGCCTCCCCCCACGGGCATGAAACGCCCGTAAACTCCGGGTCCCGGGCTATCTCTTTGGCGCAGCCGCTGCGTCCTGCTGCGGCCGCCCCTCCCCCGCGCGGGGGGGCGGCGTGGATTTCGTAGTCGGGGTTTCTGCCGCCTCCAGCCCTGTTTGCATGCGCTGGGCCGCGGCGAGGAGCCTCCGCCCCCCACCCGGTGGTTTTTCTGCGCCTCCCTCTGCTCGGCGGCGGTGGCAGCGACAGCATGGCGAGCCCTCCGGAGACCGACGGCTTCTCGGACGTGCGCAAGGTGGGCTACCTGCGCAAACCCAAGAGCATGCACAAGCGCTTCTTCGTGCTGCGGGCGGCCAGCGAGGCAGGGGGCCCGGCGCGCCTCGAGTATTACGAGAACGAGAAGAAGTGGCGGCACAAGTCGAGCGCCCCCAAACGCTCCATCCCCCTGGAGAGCTGCTTCAACATCAACAAGCGGGCGGACTCCAAGAACAAGCACCTGGTGGCCCTCTACACTCGGGACGAGCACTTTGCCATCGCGGCGGACAGCGAAGCAGAGCAGGACAGCTGGTACCAGGCCCTCCTGCAGCTGCACAACCGTGCCAAGGGCCACCACGACGGGGCCTCGGCCCCCGGGGTAGGAGGCGGAGGGGGCAGCTGCAGTGGCAGCTCCGGCCTTGGCGAGGCTGGGGAGGACTTGAGCTATGGGGACGTGCCCCCAGGCCCCGCGTTCAAGGAGGTCTGGCAGGTGATCCTGAAACCCAAGGGCCTGGGTCAGACAAAGAACCTGATTGGCATCTACCGCCTCTGCCTGACCAGCAAGACCATCAGCTTTGTGAAGCTGAACTCGGAAGCAGCGGCCGTGGTTCTGCAGCTGATGAACATCCGGCGCTGTGGCCACTCAGAGAACTTCTTCTTCATCGAGGTGGGCCGCTCCGCCGTGACGGGCCCCGGGGAGTTCTGGATGCAGGTGGATGACTCGGTGGTGGCCCAGAACATGCACGAGACGATCCTGGAGGCCATGCGGGCCATGAGCGACGAGTTCCGCCCTCGCAGCAAGAGCCAGTCCTCCTCCAACTGCTCCAACCCCATCAGTGTCCCCCTGCGCAGGCACCACCTCAACAACCCCCCGCCCAGCCAGGTGGGGCTGACCCGCCGCTCCCGCACCGAGAGCATCACTGCCACCTCTCCAGCTAGCATGGTGAGCGGAAAGCAGGGCTCCTTCCGTGTCCGTGCGTCCAGCGACGGTGAAGGCACCATGTCCCGCCCGGCTTCGGTGGACGGCAGCCCAGTGAGCCCTAGTACCAACAGGACCCACGCCCACCGGCATCGGGGCAGCTCCCGGCTGCACCCCCCACTGAACCACAGCCGCTCCATTCCCATGCCTTCTTCTCGCTGCTCACCTTCGGCCACTAGCCCGGTCAGTCTGTCATCGAGCAGCACCAGTGGCCACGGCTCCACCTCCGACTGTCTGTTTCCGCGGAGATCTAGTGCATCTGTGTCCGGCTCCCCCAGTGATGGCGGTTTCATCTCTTCCGATGAGTATGGCTCCAGTCCCTGTGATTTCCGAAGTTCCTTCCGCAGTGTCACCCCGGATTCCCTGGGCCACACCCCACCGGCCCGCGGAGAGGAGGAGCTGAGCAACTACATCTGCATGGGAGGCAAGGGGGCCTCCACCCTCGCCGCCCCCAATGGCCACTACATTTTGCCTCGGGGTGGCAATGGTCACCGCTACCTCCCAGCAGCTGGCTTGGGCACCAGCCCGGCCTTGGCTGCGGATGAAACGGCCAGTGCTGCAGATTTGGATAATCGGTTCCGAAAGCGGACTCACTCTGCTGGCACATCCCCCACCATCTCCCACCAGAAGACCCCATCCCAGTCCTCCGTGGCTTCCATTGAGGAATATACAGAGATGATGCCTGCCTACCCACCAGGAGGTGGCAGTGGAGGCCGACTGCCCGGCTACCGGCACTCTGCCTTCGTGCCCACCCAGTCCTACCCTGAGGAGGGTCTGGAAATGCACCCCTTGGAGCGTCGTGGAGGCCACAGTCGCCCAGACACCTCCACCCTCCACACCGATGATGGATACATGCCCATGTCCCCAGGGGTGGCCCCAGTGCCCGGCAGCCGAAAAGGCAGTGGGGACTACATGCCCATGAGCCCCAAGAGTGTGTCTGCCCCACAGCAGATCATCAACCCCATCAGACGCCATCCCCAGAGAGTGGACCCCAATGGCTACATGATGATGTCCCCAAGCGGCAGCTGCTCCCCTGACATTGGAGGTGGGCCCAGCAGCAGCAGCAGCAGTGCCGCCCCTTCTGGGAGTACCTATGGGAAGCTATGGACAAATGGGGTCGGGGGCCACCACTCTCACCTCCTGCCGCACCCCAAACTACCTGTGGAGAGCAGTGGTGGCAAGCTCTTGTCTTGTACAGGTGACTACATGAACATGTCGCCAGTGGGGGACTCCAATACCAGCAGCCCCTCCGACTGCTACTATGGCCCTGAGGACCCCCAGCACAAGCCAGTTCTCTCCTACTACTCATTGCCAAGGTCCTTTAAGCACACCCAGCGCCCCGGGGAGCTGGAGGAGACTGCCCAGCACCAGCACCTCCGCCTTTCCTCCAGCTCTGGTCGCCTTCTCTATGCTGCAGCAGCAGAAGATTCCTCTTCCTCCACCAGCAGCGACAGTCTGGGCGGGGGATACTGTGGGGCGAGGCCTGAGCCCAGCCTCCCGCATCATCTCCACCATCAGGTTCTGCAGACCCATCTGCCTCGAAAGGTGGACACAGCTGCGCAGACCAACAGCCGCCTGGCTCGGCCCACGAGGTTGTCCCTGGGGGACCCGAAGGCCAGCACCTTACCTCGGGCCCGAGAGCAGCAGCAGCCGCCAGCCCTGCTGCACCCTCCGGAGCCCAAGAGCCCAGGGGAATATGTGAATATCGAATTTGGGAGTGATCAGCCGGGCTACTTATCTGGCCCCGTGGCATCCCACAGCTCACCTTCAGTCAGGTGTCCAGCCCAGCTCCAGCCAGCTCCCAGGGAGGAAGAGACTGGCACTGAAGAGTACATGAACATGGACCTGGGGCCAGGCCGGAGGGCCACGTGGCAGGAGAGCCCTGGGGTCCAGCCCGCCAGAGTGGGCCCCGCACCTCCGGGGACTGCTAACGTGTGCAGGCCTACCCGGGCAGTACCTAGCGGCCGTGGTGACTACATGACCATGCAGATGGGTTGTCCCCGTCAGGGCTATGTGGACACCTCTCCAGTTGCCCCTGTCAGTTATGCTGACATCCGGACGGGCATTGTGGAGGAGGCGAGCCTTCCTGGGGCCACAGCGGCTGCTCCATCCTCATCCTCAGCAGCCTCTGTTTCCCCCACTGCACCTCAAGGAGCAGGGGAGCTGGTGGCCTGCTCTTCCCTGCTGGGGGGACCGCAGGGACCCGCGGGCATGAGCGCCTTCACCAGGGTGAACCTCAGTCCCAACTGTAACCAGAGTGCCAAAGTGATCCGTGCAGACCCGCAAGGGTGCCGGAGGAGGCATAGCTCCGAGACCTTCTGCTCCACACCCAGTGCCACCCGGGCGGGCAACACAGTGCCCTTCGGAGGGGGGGCTGCAGTAGGGGGCAGTAGTGGTAGCAGCAACAGCACTGAGGATGTGAAACGCCACAGCTCTGCCTCCTTTGAGAACGTGTGGCTGAGGCCTGGGGAGCTGGGGGGGGCCCCCAAGGAGCCAGCTCAAGCGTGTGGGGCTGCCGGGGGTTTGGAGAATGGTCTCAACTACATAGATCTGGATTTGGTCAAGGACTGCAAACAGCGCCCTCAGGAGCGCCCCCCTCAACGGCAGCCTCCCCCACCCCAGCCCCCTCATCAGCCTCTGGGCAGCGGGGAGAGCAGCTCCACCAGCCGTTCCAGCGAGGATGTAAGCGCCTACGCCAGCATCAGTTTCCAGAAGCAGCCAGAAGACCTCCAGTAGCTCAACTGGACATCACAGCAGGTGCGTTTCATGGTCACAGAGTCAGAGGACAAAACTGCTTTGAACCTTGGGCTTGAATTCTCTTCCTCTTTGCCTCTGCCCCTCCCCTCTCTTTCCTACTGCTGCTGTAGGGAGTGCCCTCACAGGAGGTGGGGAGGTCAGGGCACACAAGATGCTCACCGTGACACCTGGCTGATAGTCAAATAAACCTGTAGGAGCAGCCACACAGGTGGGCTGCTTGAGCTTTCCAAGGGAAGTACTTACTATAGTATTTTCAAAACATGCATTCTATAATACCAGTTCTGAGCTTTGTGAAGTTCCTATATAAGAACCTTGACCTCTTTGTTGAAGTTTACTTTTGACTATATATTTAGGTCACTCCCTGGAAAGGACAATTCTTCTACAAAAAATACTTGTTAAATCAGCAGCTAAAACCTTCATTTAAGATAATTCCTCGGCGCTCTTAGGTTGCCCTGTGATATCACAGTACCAAAGCTACGTAAATAACAGTGGGAAACATCAATTTTTATTCACGTTCCCCTAAAATGATTCAGGAACAAGAGATCTTTCTAGGCTTACATATTTAGAGAGAAACACCTGTGTATCTGTGACTCTCTCGAAAGTAATTATGGGTGATGCTTTCTTTTTGTTCCTGAGCTAGGATTTGTGAAAAATTATTCAGGCACCGACCTACCACCTCACAGGCATGGCCGTTTTTGTACGGGATATGCAGTGAAGTCTGCATGCGCCTGGGACCCATTATTAGTTAAGAGTTAGGGAAATTCACCCCAGTGTGTCTGCCTCACAGTTGTCTGTTCTTGCAAGGGCCAGCGCAGAGTCATCTCTACACATCATTTAGGGGCTACTGTGCATCTTCTATAAAATTACTTAACATTTTTTTATGTTGAAAGAAGGACGATTTAAGTCAGGGAAATGAAGGGGGTCGGTTTTGTTTTGCATGGAACGTGAAAGGCTAACCCTTGTACTCTTCATTTTTAGGATATTTATTGTTTGCCTGAAATTGAAGAGTAGACAGATGCCTCAGTAAATGTTGAAAGTTGGCTTTAGGTCTTCTGTGGTTAAGGCTGTATTGAAAATGAAAAACATTTGTAATAGGAAATTAGCCTGCCTATCGTTCTGTTGAGCCTATTTTCTGGTGGGAAGAAGAGAGAAGTATCGTTTGCAAATAATGTGATGAGCTGGCCATGCAGAACTTTCTAGTCTTTGGAAACACTTTATTCTGACAAACTACCTTGTGGTAGTATTTTTATATATGCTTCACAGAATGAGCTTTTAAAAGCATTCCTCTTCTTAATATATGTCCATTGGTAAGAAATTAATTTGTACATTGGGCTCCTTATTGGTAGGTATTTGTTTATTATGTGGCCACAGCCTCCTGGATTCTAACAGTTACCAATATTTGATCCATATCATTTTCTGTTTTGTAGAACAGGATATAGGTATACGAACAAACTAAGATTTTAGGTGATGGGATATATTATAAGAAGCATTTATTGGATCAGTATTCAGCATTTATGTTCATGTTTCCCTAGAAGAGATTTAATTGTAAACATTTTGGTTTTGGGGGAGTGTGAAGCCCTTGAACACTTTAGTCATGTGTGATACAAAACAAAGTCTTTCATGTATAAAGTAATGAGAATTTGAAGGGAAACCCCCAGCAGAACATAGTTTTGTTTTAAAGGAGATGAAGGAAGAGGCTAAGAAGCAATACGTTTTCCTCACCTGTTTTCCTAATTTGATCACGTCTCTTTTTTCAGAGTAGAATAAATATTTGCTCTGAGGGAAATTGATGACCAAATCAGGAATTTTTTTTTAAAGGGCTTAAAATTCTTCTTAGGTGGAGGATACAATAAAAACAAACCAACCAAAACAAAACAATCTTCCATTCTTAGCTTTCGTAGGGAAAATATAATATTCTGGAAAAACCATATCCCTAATAATCATGGAGTAGCAGTATACCATGCTTTAACAGCACCATGCCAGAAAATTCTACAATGTTTATTTATAAGATGTAAATAGAGAGAGATTTGGGTGGGGGTGGAGTGTGTGTGTTTTAAATGAGGCACTAAATGCTACTCAGCACATTTACACCCTGAATTCTGCTTGCTTTCCTTTGCCCTGTTGAGCTTAAAGATGTGATTTGATAGTCAGTTATCATCTGAAACAAAAAGGAATCAAACCTTTCCGAGACAAGCAACTATCCTACCAATGAGTATGTTTGTGAAAACATGGTTCTCCTAACTTCCTCAGCAGTTGCTGTCTTTGCGTTGCTTTCCCGTGTCTCAGGTAAAACCTGAAACATGAAAGGCAGTGAGGTGCTATGGGGGAGAGGGGGCGTGCTCTTTCTCCCAACCCCTCATTGTAAACATCTCTGCTTGTCTAATATTTTTCGCTGTCTCTTAAAGGAGAACGTTGGTGGAGGCATTTAGCTCAGGTGTCCTTTGCTTCACCTCCTGTCCATCCACCTTGTCTGTTTTGGGGTCTCTCTGTGTCTCTTCTAACTTGGCTCTGACCTGCCACCCTGCATTTGTCCAGTATGCCCCCTCTCCCATTCTCTTTGTTTCCCACCTCTTATTTCGTGTTCCTGGCATGGCCCATTTTTTTTTGCTCCATTTCAGGATTTTGCAGTCCTTGTGGCCTGCCTACTTACTGCAGAGTAAATTGAGAGCCCAAGGAGAGCAAAAAGGACACAGAAGCCCAGCTACCTTTAATCAACGTTTACCTTACATTTGGTTGGCTTTTTTTTTTTTTGAAACTGCAGCTGGGCAGATAGAGCCGACTTTGGCAAAGACACAGACCCAAGCCATCCTTTTTAGGTTTTTTTTTTTTTTTCCGCTCGTTATTTTGTGAAGTCCCCTGAAAAGGGGGTGGTAGTGGTGTGCATTTCTCTCCCTTTCAGTCTGTGTCCTTGTTATGTTCAAGGATTCCATACCTCCAGGACTACCTCCCATCTCTCCCTCCCGATGATCCCTCCTTTTTCCCCCTCGCTGTGTGGCCTTTTTGTCTGGCGCAAACCCTCTCGGCTCTGGCACGTCCCCGTTTCCCGGGTCACCTCTGCTTCCTGCATTCCTCCCTATTTATTTGGCGCTTGGTCCCCCCCACCCCCCAGCCCGCTTTTGCGGGGGGTTGGGGATTCTGCATCCAGGCGGAAGCTGCCTTCTGAAGTCTCCCACCCCGCCCTTCCCCGGTGGCCTGGGGACATCGAGGTGGCCGGGCCCCTTCCCCTGCACGGGTGGTGGGTGAGCCCCTGCCCCTGGGTCAGCACCATGCGGGGAGACTGGCTCCGGGCGGGCGGGGCGGACTGGCGCTGATTGGCCCCCGCCAGAACCAATCAGCGCGAGTATCAGCCTAGCTAAGGGGTGGGGGGGTGCAGGGCAGGGCCTCGGGTGGGAGTGGGTGGGATGGGGGCCTTGGCACACTGTGGCCTTGGTCTGGGGTCTGGCAGTGACCGCGGGCCTGGCGCTCTGGGCTGCCTTCGTCCACCCCTCTCCCCCACCCCTTCCCTCTAAAGCCGTCAGGACTGAGCCAGTCTCGAGCCCCTCCCACCCCCTCCCAGAGGATGTCCTGCGCTCAGCCTTATTCGTGCATGGACTAGAATCCTAAGAATGAGAAAGTCCAACCAGCCCACTGACAGAGGCCGGAAACCCACACTTCCTCTTATTTTTAATTGAGAAAAATCCAGGCTGTGACCATGTGACGTGCCCCATTTTGTTTCCCTCCTCTCTTTACTACGGTTTACTACGTGCTGTGTTTCTTCATCTTCCTGTCTTAAAAATCCCTGAGCACGTGGTTGTAGGATTGATTGGGTTAATGTAAGATTCTCCCATTTGCACTCCTTACTAATGGGAGGCAGGGGTGGGGGGGGCGGGGAAAGCTGGAGCTGGAAATACATGTGCTGTGGCTGGCACTGTGTGGGGATCATCGGAAAAACTCATTTGGCTTTGAAATTGCATTAGGGTCAATGCTATATTGAGTGCCTACAGTTTGCAAAGCATGGAGCTAGATAAGTTCAACCAAAACTGACCCTTCTAGGCCCAAGGGAGCTCACAGAGAAATGAAAACGTCGGCCAGAGCTTGCAAATCGTGAGAATCTAGAGATTCATTGCAAGGGCTTGGGTAGGGTTCCTTTCTTAGGTTGGAGGAAAAGCCTTTTTTAAGCTCTCAGAAGCAGATTTGTTCTCTGACCAGTGACAGCCCAAGTAAAAGCCCATCAAGGCGGGCCGGGCAAACTGATTTTGAAAGACTGCTAGATTTGTGTCGTGCTCGCTCATAGAATCAAAATTATGTGAGATGCGTTATTACTATAGTGATGGAAAATTTGTTCAGATTTGTCCTTTCTAAAATAAATATGGAAACTAGGAAAGAGAAATACTGTGGAAGTATTTTCCCCTCCCCCCACCTCATCCCTCTCAACTAAGCATTTCTCACCAGCCAGTATCCCTGAATCATAAGCCCCGGAGGCAGCATTTTTCCTTAGGTGCGGCTAGAAACATCATAGGTAAAAATGTAAGGAAGAAGGCTGGCCCTGGTATAAATGCTGTGCCCTAATACTGCTTCTGAGATGTGGAAGAGATTCTCTTGTTCCAGAAAACTTTGAGCATCTAAAATCTTATTAATTTTTGCTATTGTTTAGGTGGCTTTTTATGTTAAAAAATAAAGCCATACAATTCTATATTTGTAGTCATATATCTGATTGCCCCCAAATAAATACTGTCTCCAGTATTGCCATACAGTAGGGACTTGGAAGTCAAACATGCATGCCCCTCCCCCCTTTTTTTGGTTTATCAAAATTCCTGGAAAATAGCTTTATGCTATCTTGACTGATGCAATGGAAAAAGCAACTCCTGGGAGCCAGAGATCTTGCATTGTAACAGCCAGTGCCCTTCGCTCGCTGAGTGACCTTGGGCATGTCACTTAAGTTCTCCGGACCTATTTCCTCATCAGTAACCTGAGAGTTTTGTTCTAAATTACAGTGACCTCCTTTGCCAGCTCTAAACATA